ATTTTGAAAATGGTAAGAGATGTTGCCAACCCAATTTGAAAAGGAAAGAACTTCACTACCTCATAGGTGTCAGTCACCTCTTTGTTAAGCCCCTGCTGTTCACATTCATTCCTCAACTCTTAAAGGTACATTAACACTGCTCTGTATTTCGTTGAAGTTTGATTTGCTGATTGATGAAGGTGGTACCGTATTCCTCAGCAAAGACAACTTTATGTTAATTGTGTCTTTCTCAGGTCTAATGTGAGGCTAGTGGAGAAATTATAATTCCTCTCTCTTGACAGCTCAATTTTCTTTGTACTACCAGATGTCTGATACATACATTACCTCTCATAGTTAAATGTTCATTTGTTGCATATTCAGTGAATTCAGATTATGTACAAGAAATAGCTCCCAGTGTTAAGTATCCATGTGTGAATAAGGCATACTGCCTGTCCTCAAAGAGATGAAAGGCAGTTTGATTCAACATTTTTCTTTTCTTTTTTTTTTAAAGATTTATTTATTTATTTATTTTTAGAAAGCCAGATATACAGAGAGGAAGAGAGACAGAGAGGAAGATCTTCTGCCCACTGATTCAGTACACTTGTCCCCAGGAGTTCCCCTACCCCGAGCTTCCTCTTCCAACTCACTGGCCATGTGACTACCCTTAGCAGTTGCCAAGGAATCGGAATTAGGAGAAAATGTGTTGTGCTTGACCTCAACCATTATTAGTTCAGGCACTGGCAACAGGGGAGAAGCCCACCTATAACATATTGGCAAGCAACATCAGAGTCCTATCCGCCAAAGAAAAAGGGGAATGCTTACTAGGAAATAACCAGTAACATCAGCCCAAGATCAACTTGGCAGTGTGTGTCCAAAGCCTTTTTTTTAAGGATTTACTTATTTATGTTGGTAAGTCAGATATACAGAGAGAAGGAGAGACAGAGAGGAAGATGTTTCATCTGCTGATTCACTCCCCAAGTGGTTGGAGCTAAGCCAATCCAAAGCCAGGAGTTTCTTCCAGATCTCCCACATGGGTGCAGGGTCCCAAGGCCTTGGCTGTCCTCGACTGCTTTCCCAGGCCACAAGCAGGGAGCTGGATGGGAAACAGGACTGCCGGCATTAGAACTGGTGCCCATATGGGATCCTGGTGTGTGCAACGTGAGGACTTTAGCCACTAGTCTACTATGCCAGGTCTTTTTTTTTTTTTTTTTTTCTCGAAGCTTTAAACCATGCCTCTTGTTCTGTTTTAATCTATGTATTAGGAAAGCATTAATTTCAAGCTCATTGTCTCTCAGACTTTACTCCTATGTTATTTAGAGCCAGCTACTCCATCCCCACTCTACTCAAATTCATCACAGACCAATGTTAGAAAAATAGAAGTTTCAAAAAGGCCTGGCTCAACTGTGGCTGCTGCAGGCATTTGGGGAATGAACCAGTAATTGGAAGATTTGACACTTTCTTTCTCTGCCTTTCAAATAAAATGAAGATTAAAAGATTTTAAATGAAAATGACATGCACTTAAAAAAAGGCACATGAACACAAACTTTTTGTTATTAAACTCAAAGACTGTGAATGTACCTGTCAGACAGTTCTAAAATGTCTTAGCACTTATCTCCCCATCTCTGCCCTTATTCCCGCATGTCCAATAACAACCAGTGGTTCAGACCCAGCTGGGTTCAGGGCCATACTGCATGATCTGCCCTCGGGTTCCTCCCCGATCCTGTGTCCCGCCTGTTGCTGCCTTGGATTTAGCTACAACAGGCTGCTCCCTGTTACCGGAATATGCCATGTGTTTTGGTTTTAGTTCTGAGCTTGACTTCACATTCTGTTCCTCCTTCTTGGAATGCCCTCCTCAAGCTGGGGAATCCCTCCTCATCTTTTCAGACCAGCCTAAATGTCATCTTCCCTGTGATAGTTTTCCTTCATTCTTTGCTCCCTTGCTATTGGTTTTCCTTTGAAACCTGGCCATTCTAATCTTGTTGAACTGCATTTTTTTTTTCTGGATCAGTTTCCACTAGGCCAAAAGTTCCTTGAATCCTGTAATTGTCCTGTTTCATCTTTGCATACTCCATTCCGGCCTCACAGAGCACATCCTGAAAGATGCTTGAATTGAGTTGACAAATGATACAACTTCTATTTCTTTTCGCCTGTTTCCCTCAAATATTTTCTGCTATGCTTCTGTCTTCATTTTGTGATGTCTGTGGATTTTCTTATTAAGAATATACCATTTGGGGCCCAGTGCAGTAGCCTAGTAGATAAAGTTCTCACCTTGCACACACCAGGATCCCATATGGGCACCAGTTTGTGTTCCAGTGGGCCTGTTTCCTGTCCTGGAAACCCCGCTTCCCATCCAGCTCCCTGCTTGTGCCCTGGGAAAGCAGTCAAAGACAGCCCAAAGCCTTGGGACCCTGCACCCATGTGGGAGACCCGGGAGAGGCACCTATGTCCTGACTTTGGAATGGCATGGCTCCGGCTGTTGCGGCCACTTGGGCAGTAAATCAGCAGATGGAAGATCTGTGTTTCTCCTCTCTGTATGTCTGACTTTCCAATAAAAATAAAATTTTTAAAAAATCTTAAAAAAAATATACCATTTGGACACACAATTTTTCTTCATCAAATCTGGATTTCAAAATCAAATGTAACTTTACATTTTGATCATAGAGTCTTGTCTTACAGCCTCAGCTCAATGGTTACTGCTTATCCCACGCGGGGCTTGTGCGTCTATGTTGTTCGATATGGAAGCTACCCGGCAGCGTGCTCAGATCCGCTATGGCAATCAAAGAGCCCGTGTATGGCTACATGTCAACTTCCCAAAAAACCTGAGGATGGCCTAGCACAAAATACACAATGTGGAACCCCAATGATCTAGGCTTTAATCCCATTTTCACACATTAGTCTATGAATCTGGACAAGTTCCTCAGCTCCTTTCAGCCTGATTCTTCCATTAAAAAAAAAAAGATTCTTGAGGTGACATGAGCCAACTACAGCTGCTTGATCAATGTTAATACCCTCTGCTCAGATGAGCACATAGGTGATTGACAGGGAAGCAGACCGAGTTCATTGTGGGTCCATCAGTGCAAGTGAACAGTAGTTGATAGATCTGCCTGTCTCTTTAAAGGGTCAAGGCCAATCCATTGGGCAAGCTTACTGAGAAAGATGATCTGCTTTGAAATTCTATCTCGGAGAAAGCCTTTGTGGCTTCTCTGTTCCTGTGCTTCTGACTTCCCTGCTCACAGCTGGCAGCGACACCTCTGCTGGCCACTCTGGGGGTACATGACTAAGGTGGAAGAATGAGCAGCTGCTGCCAGTTAAGGTAGGCCGGTTGGTTGGGAGGCAGGCAATGACAGAAAAGCAACATCTCGAAACCCCCGCCTCTGTTGATGAAATAACATCATAGAGGACGCTCAGGACCAGGACTTTATCAGGTTTTTAGCAATGATTTTTTTTTTATCTTACTTTTGGAAAGAAAGACATAGATATGTATTCGTTGGGCAGTTGATTTTAATCAAGAAAAAAACTTGGCTGCATTTTCTCGCATTTTCACATCTCTGTCATGCTGCTCTAGTTCCCACCAGTCAAGGTGTTGTCCTGCTTGCCCATATGGACTGTCCTACCCCCACACCTCAGATCAGCTCCTGGCTCTTCTCAAATCTATCCCCCAGAAGCTGCCCTTCCTTCAAGCTGCCTGTTCCTGTGGCTAACTCAGTGTTTGTTTGTCACACACTGAATTGCCATTGTTTTCTGAGCACTCTCCCCTAAGGAATAAAGCTTGGCTCATGGTAGGCACTCAGTAAATATTTGTTGAGCTAAAAATGTCTCTTTTTAAAAGTTTGTTTATTTATTTATATATAATTAATTTATTTTTTCTTTGGAAGGCCAATTTTGTAGGGAGGAGAGACAGCTGCCCCCAGGCCTATTTGATGATTCCTGATTGCTTTAGATAGATTGTAGCAATGTGGTAAAGGTCCCTGTGGCTGAGCACTTGAATAGATGAGGGAAGTTACTGGGCTCCCCTCTCAGGGGCAGCAATAATGTCCGTGGGTACTAACCTCCCTGGGAGTGGGCTGCACCAAGCAAATGAAGGGGCCGATTGGAGGCCAGAGAAACGCGTGCCTTCGCCCGTGTGTGTGCTGCCCAGTTATTTCTGCGTAGCCCCAAGTAGTTCCCCAAACTCATCTTGATGTTTCTTTCTTGGGAAATCATCAGACATTATAGGAGCATGAGGTTGAAAATAGGGATCTAAGAACTACATTTCGACTTACTGTGCAAACCACTTGGAACAGAATATTCAGTCTGATAAACTTGGGTTCAAATCCTGTTTCTACTACTCCTTAGCTGTGGGAATTCACCGCTCTGGGCTCAGTTTCCTTTCAGATTTAGAAGGAAGATAATATTTACTTTAAAGCGTTGTTATTGATGATTTGGTAAGTGTGTAAAATGCCTTGTCTATGTCTGGCCCGTCTAGGTGTTTACAGGTGTCGGTCATAACGCAGAAATACGGGACGGGGTGTGGCTGATGATCTGAGCAATGTGTTACTGTTGGTTATCACTAGATCCAGCGTATGCAGGGGGAAAGCCTCAATTTCAAAATGCTGCTTCACATAGTTGTTTTGTTAAATGGATATCAGATACATGCATAATATTTGTGGTATGAGTTAGTAAGTCTTTAGGGGGTTTCCAGTTTTCCCTTTTAGGACTCCTTTCTGATAATAGCCCACACTTTCCTTCTCTGATGAGTTCTCTTAGCTCTGGAAGCCTGTTGGCCCTCTCCACAACAGTCAGCCTGAAGCATCGAGGTAAAACCCTCTGCTCACTTTTTCTTTGTCCCTCACTGCCCGCCTCTCTTGCCCTGCGGTCTTATCTTGTCCCCTGGGAGGTATGTTAAGTGCTCCGCCAGACTGCCTGTGTTCCTGGCCTGTTTTTCCTCACTGCCAGTACCTCTTGGATTCCAATTCCAAACATGGTATCCATCTGGGGTCACCCTTTCTTCCGGTGCCAAGAGAGGACGCATTCCAAATGGAGCACAAGTGTGCCTCTCCTGCTGGGCTCTCCTCACTCCGCTGGGGAACAAGAGAGAGCAGGATGTGAGCGCTGCACCCCACGCTGCCGAAGCTGCATGACATCTCGCGGTCCCACCTTTCCCGTGGAACAGCTTAGGTTTTCTGCTAAGAACTAAATCTGAAGACTCTCAAGAAACCCCAGGCCAAGTCAACTTGCCAAAGTTTTGCTGGCACCGGAGCCTTGCTGAAGAGGGAGAGGGAGAGAGACACATACACAAAGAAAAAGTTTCTTTTAAATTCTCCATGAAGTGTATTACGTTCTGCCATTCATTCCCAAAGCCACAGGAAGCATTCCACTTGGGAAAGGGAGTCGGTGAGAAGCGGAGGTGAGAAGGTACCTGGGACAACAGATGCCTTTGTTTTCCCTGCGGGGACAGTGTTAGAGCCTAGTGTGGCTTGGCAAAGCTGCAAAGATGAATGGCAGCAGCAGCAGTACTGTGGGCCAGCTCCTGTGGCAGAGGCCAATGTGCATCAGCTGGAAGCCGGACATGGAAGGGGCCGTTTACCACCTGGCCAGCTGCATTCTGCTCCTGGGCTTCATGGGGGGCAGCGGGGTGTATGGCTGCTTCTACCTTTTTGGTTTTTTGGGTACAGGCTACCTGTGCTGTGCGCTGTGGGGCTGGTTCCATGCCTGTGGCCTGGACATTGTCCTTTGGAGCTTCCTGCTGGCCATGGCTTGCGTGCTCCAGCTGGCTTACCTGGTATACCGTCTGCGTGAGGATACCCTCCCTGAGGAATTCAACCTCCTGTACAAGACGCTCTGGGTGCCCCTGCAGGTGCCCCTGCAGACGTACAAGGAGATTGTCCACTGCTGTGACGAGCAGGTGTTGACACTGGCCACGGAGCAGACCTATGCCGTGGAGGGTGAGACACCCATCAACCGTCTGTCCCTGCTGCTCTCTGGCCGGTGAGATACTCCGTCATTGCCCCAGGATTGTGTTTTCCCCCTTTAGACCACACTTCTCATTTCCTGATCTGTCTGTTTTCCATTTCGTGTCCCCGTCAACTTAGGGAAGGATATGGCAGGTCAAACAACCTAAAATAGATTTTTCTAAGAGTAGATTTGCTTCCTCTTTCTTAGCATTTTCTAAGAGATGGCTAGACCATTGAGACAACTTCTTGGTTGGCAAGAATGATTATACATGTGCTGCCAGATGTGGGTAACTTTTTTTTTAAGATTTATTTATTTTTTATTGCAAAGTAAGATAGAGAGAGGAGGAGAGACAGAGAAGAAGATCTTCTGCCAATAATTCACTCCCCAAGTGACGACAATGACCAGAGCTGTACCAATCCAAAGCCAGGAGCTCTTCCAGCTCTCCCACACAGATTCAGGGTCCCAAGGCTTTGGGCTGTCCTTGACTGCTTTCCCAGGCCACAGGCAGGGAGCTGGATGAGAAGCAGGGCTGCCAGGATTAGCACTAGTGCCCATATGGGATCCCGGCGTGTTCAAGGCTAGGACTTTAGCCACTAGGCCACCACGTCGGACCCAGGTAACTGTTTCTTGAGCCAGGCTTGAAATGATTGTGTACACACACACACACTCACAATGCTGCTGTAGCATCTCTGGAAAACTGGACCTGTTTACGAGTAGTTTGCTCCTTCCTCACACAGTCAACATCTTCTCAGCCACCAGCTATGTACAGAGAATAGTATCAAAACCTGAGATATTTCCCTTAACCCCTTTTTCTGGCTAGGTCATCAAGGAGACAGCCCCACTTGTTTGGGACATCCTATAGAGATGCATAGGATAGCCCCTCTGTCAGGTATGGAGATGGGGGTATTCGATTGAGTGAGCTCTCAGGGAAGGCATTTTGCAGGCACAGCTACCATTTCATTTATGAGTTAATTGAAAGTGTAAGCAAATGCAACTATTTGTAAACAGAGGTGTAAAGACAAATACATTATAGCTAGAGCCAGAATGCTTGCTACTTGAAGTAAGACAATCTAGAGTCCCATGATATGCCTTGCTCCCATAGCTCCTGTGTTCAGAGGGGGAATTCAGACCAGTCGAAGAGCTCCTGCTCCGAGGAGTGCTCATTTGTTGGAAGCCTGTTACAATCATCCATCAGGTCTCTCACGTGTGGCTGATTTACCATGAACTTATGTAAGTCTCCTTCCAAGTGAAGGGGGTACGAGATTTTGCTCCTCAGGGTAGCTCTTCTTGGTATGCTTGGCATCAAAGGCCTATGTGAGAAGCTAGACAATTTTGCTATTTTTTCCTTGCTTTTATAATTTTGGAATAAAAGTCATGCTCTAGTTGCTTGGTTATCTTTCAATATCAGCCTGTCTCAGCTTTGTGAAGTTGAACTTGACTCTCACCTGGAGCCCTCTGCTCTTCCCGCCAACATCTCCTTAGGACAGTCAGTTTCTTTCAAGACTCTGGAGACAAAGTGACTTCCTCAAAACCCATCCTGCCATGAAGCCGTGTTAACTGGCTGAGAGCTTCTCTCCGGTATAAGTCAGGGCACAAACTTGCAGGGAACTGTCTGTGCTGTTCCTCTAGGGGAGAATTACCTGTCACCTGGGACGAAGAGCCCAGTGACAAAGAACGCTCCTGTAGGCTTCCTTTCTAGAGAAGCTTTTCCTTTAGGTTTTGACCCCTTTTTGCAGTGGCACAATGAGCTTGTTCACCCTTTTCCTCCCAATCAACTTTGGGACCCTCCCACAACTCTGTGTTAAGAGTACTAAGGACTAGGGATCCAATGTTAGCTGTGGACAATACTGTCCTGGTACTACGACCTATCCACAAGGATCAGGAATTAAATGTTTGTTCTCATGGTGAATAACAGATATGACCACAGGATTTCTACAGGGAAGTGCAAAGTGCAACACGAGCCTGGAACTTAGTGGCACTCACTTTTCAGAAGGGAAGGGGGAGGTCAGACTGGGAGAAGGACAGCTTAAGGTGACAGACTGGGAGAAGGACAGCTTAAGGTGACACCTGAGAAGAGAGCAGCTAGAGACCCTGGGTGTGAAAATCCTCAAGGAGCACAGCACAGCTCTTCATCTTCTCCAGCATTCTTTCATTGCCTAGGGCAGTCTATAAATGACGCACCCTCCTAGGAGCAAGCATCTGCCATCTGGGGCTACACCCTGACCCCACCCTCAGTTTGGTTTGTGACCTGCATACCCTTCTTTCTTTCATCTTTAGGTTGGCAGGTATTAGGTAATAGTTTGTGAATGGGTGATGATCTTTGGAAATATGTATGCTCACAAATATTTCTAGACATTCATGAACAGCAAGACTCAGGAGTGCTAATATCTCATTGGACAGAACTTAAACCCGTGGTTCTCCCTAGCAGCCAGGAAGGCAAAGGAGTCTAGTTTTAAGCTGTGCAGCCACGGGTCCAGTTGGAACTGAAGTACTATGGAGGAAGACAAAAGAGGTACTGGAGAACAGACCAAACTCCCCACATCTCTGTCCACACCCCCTTCATTCTGTGCTTCTCAGTATTCTATTCAACCTTGAGGACACAGCTCAGATGTAATCTTTGAGATGGCTGTGGTGCTAAGGGAGCCAACCTGTGCCTTCCGTGATGCCTCTGTTTTCCCAGCAGCACCTAGTCCATTGACTTGCAGTCAGTACTTGATATGCTGTGACTTTCACTCCACTGTGAAGCCTTCAAGGGCAAGAGCCAGCTCATACCCTTTTCAGTCCTAGCCTTCCCACAACATAGAGTGTTCTCTCTGTGCATTTGTTTAGCCAGCAAAGCTCTAGATATAACAGGAGAGACCCCTTCACATGGACAAGGTTTGTCTTTGAGGTTTGTCTCTCTGGTCTCCTCCCATCCCTTGTCTGATAGAAGCACCTTGGTGCCTGATATAATTCACTTCACAAGAGAAGTCAAACATTCAGCTGAGTTTTTCAGAAGAAAAGAGAAAAGCCCATCCTGGATCCTAATCTTCCAGATACAGCTTCCACCTGAAATGTACTTGGTGCACCCAGGGACAACCAGTAGCCTGGCATCATTTCCAACAAGCCTCCATACCTACATTTTAAAGCACCAGGCCAGGTGTCAGCCCCTCAGTCACAGAGCAGTGTGCTTCTAAGTTGTGTTCCAAAGCTGTGAAGTCAGGCCTGTGGTCACAGGCAAGTCAAGGACTCTAGGGACCCTGCACCTGTGTGGGAGACCTGGAGGAAGCTCCTGGCTCCTGGCTTTGGATCAGCTCAGCTCTGTCTGTTGTGGCCAATTGGAGAGTGAATCATCAGACCCAAGATCTTCCTCTCTGTCTTTCCATCTCTCTGTATATCTGACTTTCCAATAAAATAAATAAATAAATCTTTAAAAAAGAGATACAAGAATTTCTTGCCAAACTTAAAGAGAGGCACAGAACTCATTCAACTAGAACATTTTATGTGATTTCAGATTTTTTTCTACGCCCAATTTAGGATATGTGCTTGTTGTTTTTTTTTTTTTAAGATTTTTTAGTTTTATTAGAAAATCAGATTAAAAGAGATAAGGAGATAGAGAAAGATCTTCAGTTTGCTGGTTCACTCCCTAAGAAGCCACAATGGCTGGAGCTGAGCCGATCTGAAGCCAGGAGCTTCCTCCAGATCTCTCATGCAGGTGCAGAGTCCCAAGGCTTTTGGCCGTCCTCCACTGCTTTCCCAGCTCACAAGCAGGGAGCTGGATAGGAAGTGGAAAAGTCAGGATATGAACCAGCACTCATATGGGATTCTGGAGCCTACAAGGCAAGGATTTAGCTACTGAACCATTGTGCCAGGCCTGGCATGTGTTTTTTGAAAGTCAAAATTATGTGATTTGAAAATCCAAGAGTTTATTCCAGAGTAGAGAAGTGTGTTCGTTTTGTTAATCACTGATAGCTGTCCTCATGAGTCAGACTCACTTAAATCCATTTCCAGACTCTCCAGGAAGGAGTCTGATGGTCTCAGCATGGGTCAAGTGTTTACCCTTGGATCTTCATGGACAGGGTATGTGGGCTACCACTTGTGGAGTACTTTAGCCATTGTGTGGGTGGAGAGGGCAGGGAAGTGCCAATGCCAGGAGAGTGCCCTATCAGCTTCCAAAAGCCCTGGTTACAGGATGGCAACATGGGGCTGTGGCCAGAACATAGGCTCTCACTTCTGCCACTTGATGGCTGTGGACCCTGAAGCTCACCACTGAGCCTCTCTGAGCATCAACTTCCTTAGCTGCAAAGTAAGAGGATTGGAAGTGGGGGGCGGTAAATGATGATCTACGTTGATCAAGTAGAAGTATACTTGGCAAGTGTTCTGGAAAGCAGTGTCAGTGCTAGCACGTAATGCATGAAGCGGGACTCTTGCAGGAACCTGCTGGAGAGGAGAAGGCAGCAGGTGTCTGCTCAGGAGGCACCCTCAGGACACAGGTGGGTAGTGCAGCTCTGTGGGGCCGGGCATCCTATGGTCGGGGAGCTATAGGCCACAGGGCTGTGGTGATTCACTCAAGCCAGGAACTGAATTGTTACTTTGCCTTATATGTAGATGTAACTGGTCACATGTGACCTGTGCACAGAGAATTCTGGAACAGTGGTTTTTCACCTTAGCTGTGTGTTTGCATCACGGGGAAGACAGAGTGATAATGATCATATCTGACCTTCAAAGATTCTTGGGTCATGGCTCTGGGGTAGGCACAAATCTAAGTGATTTTTAATTCCTGCTTGCCCTGCCTCAAGCTTTCCACTCCGCTGTGTGATGTTGGGTAGTCTGCGAGAGAAGGAGCCAAAGGAGAAGGAAAGAAGCTGGCCTCTGGTCACGAGGCTGCTCCTACTCTGAGCACTGTTTCCTGCTTGAGGAGTCCCATGGTCAGCACCCAACACTTAGCGCAGAGGGCCGGGCAGCCAGTTTCCTTCTCCTACACTGTGTTTCTCTCTGCAGGGTCCGTGTGAGCCAGGACGGGCAGTTTCTGCACTACATCTTCCCCTACCAGTTCCTGGATTCTCCCGAGTGGGAATCGCTGCAGCCCTCAGAGGAAGGAGTGTTCCAGGTAACAGGGAGCCCTGCGGCAACACCCCTTTGACCCCATCCCCACCCCCATCTGGCCTTTGTCCTGGTCTCCTCCTCTGCCTGGTTCCTACCAGAAGTGGGGTAGGGAAGAAGGTGCTGGGTCCAGATGGAGGGCCCTGTTGCTCTTGTGCCTGAAATACTTTCCAAAAGTCCCAATGGTCACGTGATACAAATCCCCAGTCCTAGGAAGAGATTGTAAAACCTTCAGTGAGCTCCCGGCCTGCCTCCCTGTATATGTTCTGCTCTCACAATCTGGGCCAAACCAAGCTGCCGACAGCGTCCTGCAGTTTCCATAGGTTGGCTGCTACTGACTCCCCCTTCTGCAATGCACTGACCCGTTTAGATGAGACACCACACTTCCTCCTTGAAGTCAACCCAGACTGACACTGCCAGGTTCCACTTTCTCAGCTGCTGGCTGCTGTTCTCCGCCTTTTCCTTACGCTGCCCATGCTGCTTTCTGCAGCATGTGGTTTCCTTTCTGGCTCCCACAGGGTGAACTCTTTGAAGTAAAACTCTAGGCTTCTCCCTTATTTTGTCCCCAGGGACCGAAAGACAGTATCTGGGACCCAGCCAGTGTGCAGTGAAGGCTCAGTGCCCTGGCTTGCCAGGGAGAGCTGGTGTCCCTGGGGCACTCTATGAACTTTGCAAACACACCTAAAGGAGAAGCTCCCCAGGGAGGCCTGCCTGCTCAACTCCTACCCTCTTCTGCCCCAGCCACTCAGATTTTGGTCACTGTCATTGCAGCTCTCACCTGCCGAATGGCCAGCACACAGCAGCCTCTGTATATTACATGGCCTCAGTTTTTGACTCTCACTACTATATGGGCCATCTAGTCTTATGATTACTACTCAATTTAACAGATGAGGAAATTAATGCCCCAAATCATCTTGTAATCTACCCCAGGTCTTTAGCTACAAGGTAGTCAAACCAAGGAACCTGGGTCTACTTTTTGTCTTTTAGTTTGGAGGGCCACCAGGCAATGTAGTTTCTCACACGCACGCACCACGTACACTGTTATAGGGACTCCTCTGTCTGGATGGCTTGCTGGTGTTGGGTTCCACGTGTCTCCTACCGCTTCTAGCTGGGAGTCCCCAGAACTGACGTCTGAGCCAAACCAGGAACAGACTGTGCCAGCCAGTGCCACCTAGCTAGGCCAGTTTCCGCCCCGACTCGGACACTTGCCTCTGTGATGACAAAGCCTGACAGAGAACCCTGACCCTACCACCATGTTCAGCAGCTGCAGACCCCTGGTCGTGTTCCTACTGCTCCACCTGCCACACACCTGCGCCCTCTCACAAGCTTAGCAGTCTCCCGTGGGAATGTTCCCAGGCCACAGGAATGTGCAGGAGGGCTGAATCAGGACCCGGGCAAGGAGGAGCAGGCCCTGACACTGACACGAAGGAACAGGTGGCAGAAAGCTGGTGTCCTCCCTGAGTTACGCTCCAAAGGAAAGGCTGTCACCCCAGATGGCCTCTCGGCCAGGAATGTTGGCACAATCATACCCCTCCCCTTTATATTTTTAGTGTGCAGTGAGACCTGCACATTTGCTGTTGGCTGTGTAAAATTCCATTTCCTCCCTCTAAATGTCAGGTGTTGTTCCAACTTATTGTTCATCCTGTTTTTTTTTTTAAGATTTATTTATTTTTACTACAAAGTCAGATATAAAGAGAGGAGGAGAGACAAAGGTCTTCTGTCCAATGATTCAGTTCCCCAAGTGAGCGCAATGGCTGCTGCTGCACCAATCCAAAGCCAGGAGCCAGGAACTTCCTCCAGGTCTCCCACCCAGGTGCAGGGTCCCGAGGCTTTGGGCTGTCCTTGACTGTCTTCCCAGCCACAGGCAGGGAGCTGGATGGGAAGCAGGGTTGCTGGGATTAGAACCGGCGCCCATATGGGATCCTGGTGCATGCAAGGCGAGGACTTTAGCCGCTAGGCCACTGCACCGGGGCCTATTCATCTTGTTCTTACCTTTTGCAATTAATACCATCTTTCTCAACTGAGACAACAATCCACATTTGATGTGACCTAAATCACAATTCATTGTATTTAACACAAATGTATCAATTCTACCTCACCTCTGGACAACTCATTTAAATCAAAATACATGGACTGTTCAGCACTGTCACACTCCCGTTAACCACCATGAACATAGCACAGGAAGGAGAAATCACACAGGAATCAGCATTATTGTTCCATTTTGCATCCTGTTTTGCAGGGCCTATTCTTTAGGTTACTTTGTTTAATCTATTCAAAGAGCCTCTGGGGTGAGTAATAGAAAGCTGGATACAGCTCAAGACTTCTATAGACACATCCATATAGATAAGTATGATTGGGGACCAATCACGGAGCAGATTTCTGGAGCATTCTAGGGCAAGACCTTACACAGGACATGAGAAGGTGACATGAAATTGTTGTACCGCATTCGTGGACTGCCTTTGATTGACCTATTTGCTTCAGCAATGTTATTTTTTGAGCAATTATTACATAATCAGGCACCGTTAAAGGTGAACTGGATAGACAAAGACCCCTACCCTATGGCAATTTACATTCTAGTGGAGGGGACAGACATAGATCATAGACATAATGAATGAGTACATTCTGAGGCACATTGAAGGGACATGCCTACTAGTTATGGAAGCAACAATATACAGTAGCAGTACAAGGGAGATACAGTTGCAATTTTAAATTTTGTGCTTATGAAAGTCCTTGATAAGCAGGTTATATTGGGCAAAGACTGGAGAGGAATGAGGGTGTGAGCTCCTTTAAATGTCTAAAGGAAGAGCAGAAAGAGGAAGAGGCCCATGTAAAGGCCCTGAGATGAGGCTTGTGTATTTAAGGTGCAGGAAGGAGGCCAGAGCAGAGAGGGAAGGAAGAGAATAGCAGAAGGTGGGAGGTGATGGGCTACCAGGTCATGGAGGACCAGAGCATGTATTTTCTTTTAACATTTATTTATTTTCATTTGAAAGGCAGATTTACAGAGAAGGAGACACACACACACAGGGGGAGAGAGAGAGAGAGAGAGAGAGAGAGAGAATTTTCTATCTGCTAGCTTACTCCCCTAATGGCTACGATGGCCAAGCTGAACCGATTCAAAGCCAGGATCCAGGAACTTCATGCGGATCTCCCACATGGATGCAGGGTACCAAAGGCCTTGGGCTGTCCTCATCTGCATTCTCAGGCCACAAGCAGGGAGCTGGATGGGAAGTGGAGCAGTCAGGACGAAAACAGATGCCCATATGTGATGCCAGCACCTGCAAGCAGAAGGTTAGCCTGTTGAGCCACAGCATCAGCCCCTTAAAGCATGTATTTTCTAGATAGAGCCAGAACGAGTTTGTTTGAGGCTTGAATGCAGTATGTGACAGAAAGTGAGGATCGAGGACAACGCTGAAGCTTTTGATCCAAACAGCTGCTAGGATGGAACTGCTGTCCAGATACAGCTGATCCTAGGGGATAGGAAGTTCAGCTTGGGATGTGTTCAATTATGTCATCTATGGACATTTAAGTGGAAATGCTGCATGGGCAGTTGGATATTTGAGTCTGGAATCAAGGAATGAACCTTGAACTTGAGACAGGCGTGTGGGGATTGATTGTATCTGGCTTAATATTTAGTCATTGGAATGGATAAAATCATTAAGTGAGAGGAGGAGAGCAGAGAAGGAGTTCAAGAAGGACGGCCTGGAATATTCTAGTGTTAAGCAGTTGGAAAGAGTAAAAGGATACAGCAGGGCCCAGTGCAATAGCCTAATGGCTAAAGTCCTCACCTTGCACACCTGGGATCCCATATGGGTGCCAGTTCTAATCCTGGCAGTCCCCTAATTCCCATCCAGCTCCCTGCCTGTGGCCTGGGAAAGCAGTTGAGGATGGCCCAAAGCCTTGGGACCCTGCACCCACATGGGAAACCCAAAACAGCTCCTGGCTGCTAGCTTTGGATCAGCTCAGCTCCAGCCGCTGCATCCACTTGGGGAGTGAATTGTTGGACAAAGATCTTCCTCTCCGTCTCTCTTGCTCTCTGTATATCTGACTTTCCAATAAAAATAAAATAAATCTTAAAAAAAAAAGGGACTCAGCAAAGGAAGTTGAAAAGGAGCCATCAGGATAATGCAGGGCCTGGGGAGCCACTTGAAAACAGAACAAAGGCGGGGAGATAGTTCATGGACTGGAATCTGAGGAAATCGATCACCTTCTGTGACTTAATGACAGCTGATGACCTTCACAGGTGTAGCATTTGTGAGCTGCCAAGGAGGGACAAGGCCTTACTAGCTCCGCAGAAAGTGAGAAAAATCAGAGAGAGTGAGTGTGGGCATTTTCTCATGGAGCTTCGTTAAAAAGGGAAGCAAATAAATGGACTGGCAGCTGTCCAGGGAAATGAAGAGAAGAGAAAAGGATGTTCCCATTTTAAGTTTTGTTTGACTTGCAGATGAAGAAGTACCAGCTTGTGTATAAAAATGCCTGAGGTCTTTGCCTTTGGGTTTGGGGATACACCCGCCTCATGTTCTGCACTCGGAAGTCTTGTTTGTGAATTGCTAAGTAATTGTACCCACAAGATTGTGAAAACTACTTGCCGGACTCTGAGTAATGGACAGGTCTTGAATATTATTTTCAGAATTCTTGCTCACAAGGCAACATGTTCGAAGAGATTAAGTAATGTATCTGACACACAGCTGGCAAGGAGGCAAAGCCAACACTTGAAACAAGCCTGAGGCCTTGCAGTTGTAGTTGGAAGGGCGGGGCAGGGGCTGAGTGGAAGAATGGAGGAGTTGCAGAGAGGAATGAAGAAGAAAGGAGGACGATGGGACATCAAGTGGGCAACGCAGGAAGTTAAAACATCATATACTTTTTGAAAGTCAGCCCTACGTGTAATTAGACAATGCACGTAAAATGCTGTACACTTGACACACAGTCATCATCGATAAGTGTTAGCCACATCGTCCTCTTCATGGTCATCTCCACCCTCCCCATCCACAAATACCCATGACCCCGCCATCCCTAAACACCACACCAACCAGATTATAGAAAATTACAGGATTCCACACCCTTTTCCTGTACTACCATGAACATGTTTCCATTTTAACCCTAGCTTTACCTCTCATTATTATGTTATCAAGGATTTATCTAGTACCTGCTTATGCTGGGCACACATTATTGCTTGTTTCCACTGCAAGTGCAATATAATTTTGCATCTTGGGCATGTAATGCGCATTCATGTGACTACTTAAGTGGCTAATCAATGCCTTTTGGCATTCTGATGTTGAGAGATTTTCTTCTTCAGGGCCCTCCTGCCATCTCGGCATTAAGTCCTTTTGATTACTTATTGTGATAAAATTAAGAGCAACTTCATGGACCTGAGTCCCAGAGCAGTACCCCGTTATCCACTTGATGTAACTTGGCCTGCCAATGAGAAGCTTTTCCTCTAGCTAAACATCTTTCTATCCTTTCTGTACTGCTACCCCCATCTATAACAGTATTTCAAAATTTTCATGGAAAATTAAATTAAAAGAAAGGTTTATTCTGGTGCAAAGAAAGTCAAGCTCTATTCATGGCTGTTTTGTAGTATGCATTGTAAGATCTTTTACATTCAAGGATTTTAACCTTTCTTTTACATCAAAATGAATGTATCTTTTGATTTCATTCTCTACAAAGGCTTTGAGGTTCCCTGGTGTTATCCTTTATTCTGAAAATGAAGTCATCGTCATTTTAACCTCTCTTCAGAGCATTATGGAGCCCATCCTCTCTATCCATCTATCACTTCCATCACAAGACTCAGGACCTTCATCAGCCACTAGTTATGTGGCGGCCGTGGTACCGTAGGGATACTGAGTTCCAGAGTGAGAAGTGAGTGAGTGGGGAGCTGGTTGATTCCAGAACACAGAACACCCCCAACCCGGTGCACACATGTGGGCATTCGTTCCCTGGGCCTCCTCCAGGCAGGCATTTGGGTAAAGGCACAGCCATGTTCCATGTGACTGGCTGCATCTTGCTGCTTAGTGTGAGCAGACTTTCCAGCTTAGGGCTTTACTTCCTGCTTCTGATCCCTGTCAGGTCACCCTCACAGCTGAGACGGAATGCAGCTATATTTCCTGGCCCCGGAAAAGCCTCCACCTTCTGCTGACCAAGGAGCGGTACATCTCGCGCCTCTTCTCGGCCCTGCTGGGCTATGACATCTCAGAGAAGCTCTACACTCTCAACGAAAAGCTCTTTGCTAAGTTTGCACTGCGCTTTGACATTCGCCTGCCCAGCCTCTACCACGTGCTGGGGCCCGCTGCCCCAGACACAGAGCCAGAGTCTGAGAAGGATGATGAGGAAGCCCGTGTGCCAGCCATGTCTCCTCCTCAAGCCACGGCCACCTCCGCCCAGCACACGTCCCCTTGGGCTCCCTCTCCAGCTGCCACCAACTTTCCTGCACCTCCTTCCAGGGCCAGGATGTCCAGACCCGACAGCGGCATCCTGGGTGAGGACTCCACCAGTCTGGTGCTGGAGGATTTTGAGGAGGTGTCAGGATCAGAATCGCTTATGGATTATAGGAGTGATGGGGAGTACATGAGGTGAGGGGAGAACACGGGCACAGTCGCCGGCTGAGGACCCTGCGTAAGTACTCAGAACACGGCCCCCACACATTCCTGCCACCGGCTGGCCTCAACACAGCTTGGAAGGGCAAACTCCTGCCTACTGGAGCGTCTCCTCTCAGAGGACTCACACAAAGTGGCGTGAATCCAGCCTTGCAGCTAGCAGCAGCTCACTCTGGGTACAAGCAAGGCGTGGATGTTTCTTTTATAATTCATTTATTTTTATTCATTGTAGTTGTGTTTTGGAAAATAGGCTGGTTGACATTTTGAGGGGGCAGGTAGGTTGCTAAATGTGTGTGTAGAGTTGTTTAAAGATTAAGCCACTGCTGGGATTAAAGGGGATTTTATCTGGCATACGTTTTAAAGGGAAGAGAATGTTGGCGTGCTACTAGCTCTCATTGATTGCCTTCCAGACACAGAGTCCCTTCTGGAAAGCAGTTGTTATTTAGCCTGGACTGGGCAGGTGTTATCGCCGATGAGCACAGGCACTGGGCCTAGCAGTTACGATGCTGGCACCTCACACGGGGGCACCTGGCTTCAGTTCCCAGCTTCTGCTCCTGATGCCAGCTACCCGCTAAGGAAGGCTGTGGTAATGACTCGGGTGTTTGGTGCCTGCCACCCACACGGGAGGCCTGGATTGAGACCCTGGCTTCGGGAGCCATTTCCCCATGTTGCAGGTATTTGAGGAATGAACCAGCAGATGGGAACTCTGGCTCTCTGTCCCTGATTCTCAAAGTAAAAATAAAAGAATGCATAGGAAGGGACTTCAGAAAATTCTTGGATGGGAATAAAATGTAGGTTTATTTTGGTATAAAAAAATTAGAAATCCAAATACTGTCTGCTCATGAAATATGTTTTCCACAAATTGTATGATGTCTCTTAGTCTTGTAAAGAGATTTGTGATTATAGAGTAGTGGCTGTGTCAGGAACTATCCTTACCTGGCTGTCCTCTCGCCCAACAGAGAATGTCTGGTTCTTTGGGCAGAGGACTAAATACTGCTCTAAATCAAGTGCATTACTTGGGTACCCACCCTCCCAACACACACTCTGGCCTGCCTTCCCCCAGCAGCCTGTACCTGAGGGAGGTGGGATGGACCTGAAGCTGTGGGTGTGGGGGGGACCTGCAGGACTTCCCTTGCAGGGAGTATACAAAAAAGGCTGCCCTCAGCAGTTCTGGGAAACAGCTTTCCATTTCTCCTGACTGCGCTCGCAACGTGGTGACATTTATCTCGGGAGTTCTGCCCAACCCTGGTGGAGGCCTGGCTTCACCAGAGGAAACCCCAGATCTTGTAGGTTCAGAAGGTCTTGTTCAGAGAAGAGGGCACTAAAGCCCAGACAGATTCCCTGAAGTGCCACCCAGGGCAGCAGCGTGTGAGCAACCGTTCACATGTTTTTGAAAAGCAAGTTGTATAAATGATCAGGGAGGTAAGAGAAGGGAATGGTAAGAGTTAGATCTTTTCTTCTGCATCTATGGAATTGCTGCTCTCCAGTGGTACCTGGAGTGATTCTAGGGACAGGTCCAATGATCTGGTCACAGCAAGGTCGCTCGGCTAGCTTCCCACATTGGCACTGTTGCCCTTGCCCAGCACACTGCCTCTGTCCCACCAGTCCCTCCTCGCCAAGTGCACCTGCCCACCTGTCTCCACAGCTCTGGCAGCTCTCTGTGTTCTTTGCTTTTCTTTGTTCTATTTCTTCTCTCATTTCTCTTTATGCTTACTTGGCTGCCTCAGTGTCTCTTTTCTCCTTCTGAGCTCAGTCTCCTTCTCCGGGTATTCTCTAGGTGTTTGCCCACTTTACTGTTCAAGGATTTCTCTCACTTTCCCCACTTCTTTCCTTTCCCCATTTCCTGCCCCACTTTGCTCCTTCTCCAGGACTGCTCTGGTCCTCCATCTCATCTGTTCTAATCCAAATTCCTCCAAGATCAGTGCCTTTTTTTCTGTCCATTAAACATACACACATAACCACTCAAGCAAAGGTGTGAAAATTCCCAGCTCTCTGAATATTCTCCACACTTCTGGGGGGTTGTCAGCTTTGGGGGATGAAAGAGGGGAGACTGCACTGTCTATTGGCTCTGTTTCTAAGCAAATTGGATGCATTCTATAAACCACCCAATTACTCCACATGCTACTTGCTTCCTTTGAGTGTATTGCTCTCCCCTACCCCATACCTGCAAGCCTCGCTGCCAGGCGTGAGAAGGCTAAAGTGTTTTCCAGATGAGGGGACACGGAGTGGTGGTCCCCGCTAGGCAAGGAGACCAAGGCATTGTCCCTGCTTTCCCTGAGCAGGCTTCAGCATGTTCCTTCTATTGACTAAAAGATGATACTTATATTGCACAACACTAGGAATTGTAAGACCCCTGTTTTTGATTCTAATGGAGAGAGATGAGATGAGAAGGCCTGTGAAACAGAAGAATGTCTTGGGATGGTGCAGGTGGCAGGGTGCCACCAGGCTCAAGCCTCAGGAAATCTTTCCCTAATAGTTCTCTGAAGTCTTAGGGCTGTTCTCCTCCCTAGTTTAGGGTTGTGAGGGGTAGGGGAAGGTGCTGGGCTTGGCTTGACCACAAATTCCTTTCCTTCTGTCCAAGGGAAGAGTCTGTAACCTACCCTGAGATTACAGGTGCTCCTAGTGAAAGATCACAACTCAGTCCCCAAGTCCCACCCTCCTCCCCCAGCCTCTTCTGGAAACCTGAGAAGAGAAAGCTACTAAGGTAATTCACCTTCTGAAATTACTGGTGTTTGCAAGAACAGAACAGTAGCAGGTGTTTTGTGGTCATTTAAGTGACAAAAAGGGAAAAGACATTATTTTCAACCACAGGGTTTTGAGAAAAATGTGAGAATGCGATCAAATTGCTAAATTTCAGAGTTTCTAATTCAGTCTGTAATACTAGGATAATTTAATTTGAGATATTTCCCTGGTATCCTAGACTTTGAATGCATGGTTTGATTTGCTTGCCAACATACCCCCATAGGGTTATTAGAGTGAATAGGCAGTGTCCCAGGCAATTGGTAGCAGTTTATCATTGTTGTTTTTATAAAGTCTAGTACAATTCATTATCAGTCTCCTGGCTCTTGTATTACCAAAGTATTTAGCTCATCATCATTTGTCTCAACACAGCGCTTACGTAAGAGGCTCAAAGATGCTGGGATGGTGCAGTGCTGTGAGTGACCCAGCCTGTTTGCATTGACTGTAGGGCTTCCTCTCACACCAAACCAACTGGAACCCATTTATTATTTATTTTTATTTATAGTTATCTGAAGGTGACTGTCAGCAATAGCAAATTTAATCCTGTGTGTTCATTTTCTTCCAAATGCTTTTTTAGCATACTAGAAATATTTTTTCTCTTAACATGAGACTCTTTTTAAAGAGTGCTTTGTGTTGGTGTTTGTTTCTCTTTCTGTTTTTCCGGTCTGGTGGTCCCCCAAATAGAAAATGGCTGCTGCTTCTCTTCCTAGGCAGCAACGCTCTGTGAGGTCACAGATTCGGGTGGATCTTCCAGGCAGCCCTTGCCAGGATTTTCCCGTATCACTTACGGCCAGTCTCCACAGGGTTCCTTGCTCTGTCGTCCTTCTGGGCAGTACCCAGTGAATGAGGAACTTGTCTTGTAAGCATGCATCTGTGAGGCCAGCAGCTGATTTGGATAACAGGACAATTTTCATAGACTAAGTTGAACTGTTCTTATTCGGGCCAGTGTTGATGTTGTTTCTCAGTGTCCCCAAAACTCTGTAGTTTGGAGAGTAAAAACTGTATTTTGTTTTCTTTCTTTCTATTGTTTACATAAATACACAGGCCGGTTCTCTGTGGTCAGAGAAGGGGTTCAGGACCTAGTGTCAAAGGGCCGAGAAGCAAGTCAACATTTGAACATTGTTACACAGTGTGTGTCTCAGGCACCAGGTTGGGTTCTCATGGCAAACATCTCAGTATGAACTGAGTATATCTGACCTGCAAGGGAAGGGCAAGTGTCAAACTTCAAGTTAGGAAAAGAATGCAAATTAAAATTCGACTTCATGTGGTGTTTCTCTTGTGGGAAGAAATTGAAATAAGAGCTGAAATTTGTGAAAAAAAAAAAAAAGCAGCTTACATTAACAGCAGACTGCTCATGGGATAGAGAGCTGCTCATCACTGGAGCCCATGGTCCTCAGATCTGGACACCAGATCTTATCAAGAGCAGATTCTTCACCCACAGTGCTGAACTAGTATTCCTCTGGCTACCTGACCAGGCTGCTGTGTGGAGAAATGGAATGAATGACATAAGGCGTTTGTAAAGCATGAGTTTAATGTACCATGTGTTCTAAAATCCTGACATGGTATACTGTTCTTCAACTCTCTCTCTACCATTACCATCATCATCAAGAGTATCATTATCATCAGAGTGGGATGCTCTCTCTGCTCTCCCAATCTGGCTCTCAGCAGAAGGTCCCTAATCCTTTGGCAACAAAAAGTGGAGGCCTAACAAGAACTGGGTACTTCCTTGGCCTCTGAAGGATGAGGTAACCACCCCAACCCCTATATAATTTCCTTTGTTTATTCAGGCAGGGATAAGACCAGGTTCTTTCCCTTCAAAATGCACCAGCAGCTGGCAGTACTGGCAAATAGTACTTTCTTCACCAAACCTATAGAAAGACTCCTGAGGGAGGAAAATTGATCTTCAAAGTGGCTTGGCAGAAACAGAGTTCTCTAGCAGTGCTGCCTCTGCCTGTCACAAGCTCTGTGTGACAGTCAGGTGAGCTAGAGGCCGTCATCCCTTCCCTGTCCTGTGAGTCACAGCAGTCTGATGGCACCCTGCCACCATCACCATCCCAAGTCATTCTTCTGTTTCACAGGCCTGCTCATCTCACCTCTCTCCATTAGAATTAAAAACAGGGGTCCTACAATTCCTAGTATTGTGAAATGTAAGTATCATCTTTTAGTCAATAGAAGGAACATGCCTGAAGCCTGCTCAGGGAAAGCAGGGACGATGTCTTGGTCTCCTTGCTTATAAAATGGGAGGGTTGGGCTTGATGAATTTGAGGCTTGCACACGCTAATATTCTGGAATGAAATGGCTGTGTGATACCACTTCCGCTCTGGTGTCAGACACTAGGAACTGCTAAGATATTGCGAAATGATGGAGGGAAAATGGAAAAGAAGCTGTGAGGTTAGGTGAGCTGTCCAGAGCTGCTGCATTGACATCATTCCTTTTTGTTTTTCCACAGCTTCTAGAACTCCACTCCCGAGCCACTCTGCAGTGATAACCCGAGGACAGGCCCCTCTGGCTCCAACCCACACTCCTGAACTTTGAGCATTAGAGGGCCATCCTTTCCCCCACGGGCAGCATGGCTATCTGTTGTGTTTGCAAACTTCTCCCCTGCCCTGCCAGAAATGAACTCATGGGCAAGGGGGGCAAACTGAGAAGAACCCAGCACTGCTGCTACACGGAGGGAAATCTACCCTCCAGAGCCTTCCTTCCCAGAGAGGGCAATCAAGACCACCCCTTACCACTGCAATCAGGAGCCTCTACACAGTGGGGGTTACAAAAGGCACCTCACAGATGAACTAATCTGTATTAAACACCTGCAACCTGGTGTGGCACCCAGTAAGCACCCAATAAATCACTCAGCTCCTTGCCACATGTTGTCTGTTTGAATATTCCCAAGAATCAATGGAGTCATCCATCCAGGAACTTTGCACTCAATTTTTGTTTTGTTTTGTTTTGTTTTGTTTTCCCAGTAAAATTCAATGTATGTAAGTAGAAATGTAAAAATGTAGTTTTCTCTTAAGCTTTTAAATTCAACTTACAAGTTACTTGTTCATTTGTAAGCCTATTACTAAACAATAATTTTTAGATTTTTTTACAAATGCAGTTAGATTACCTTAAACATTTAAAAAATATGTAAGTTTAATGTATTCTGTTTTTTCCCCTCCATGAGTACTTCATTGCTCTAATGCCTGTCCCTAAACCAGTACTTAATAGGATGTTTTGCTCGTGATTGAGACATGACTGGATTCAGCATGGAAGGGTTCTCACTCAGGATTTCTCATGCCATTACAGACAGAGAGTTGCTGGGCCTAGAATCACTTAAAGGCTTCTTCACTCACCAGCTTGGAGCCCCAGAAAAGGATGAATCAAACAGCTGTGGGCTGCAACAGCATCTCAGCTGTATCAATATACAACAGCATCTCAGCTGCATCAATATACAACAGCTTATTTATCCATTCTACCATTGATGGGCATTTGGGCTTCACCTGAAGCCATTATAAATATGCTGCCATGAACATGTCCTTTGGTGTGCATATGTATGCACTTCCTGGGCTTGGGCTTCTGCATATTCAACCATCATAACTGCTGGCAGGGATTTCTCAATCGATTGTACCAATTTACATTCCCAGTAGCAGCTTGTGAGAGGTTCTGGTGGCTTCATCCTCCCCAGTAGTCAGCATTGCCATTTCCGCCCCCATGTTAGCCATCTGAGCATGCAGAGCAGCATGTCATGGTAGTTCTAACTTTCATGTCCATAAGGAGTAATAATGCTGAATCCTTTTTTCTTCACCATATGGATATCTTCTCCTGTAATGTATCCCTACTAGTTTCTGGTTCCTTTCCCTATTTATGTATATGGTTTTTAAATTTAAGGGAATTCTTTAAATATTTAGGTTACACATTCTGTATTGGATAAATATATATTCAAGTATTCTACATATAGGTCATTTTTTATTTGAATGAACTGAAGTTTGTAATTTAGTGTAGAAATTTATCAGTCTTTTCCCCCGTGTCATATTTAAGAAATCTTTTCTGCTCCTGAGGATTGCCTTCTAGATTGCCTTCTGCTACATTGCCTTCTAGATATTTTATTGTTTTACATTTTATAATCAGATCTACCAGCAGCCTGGTTTGGTTTTGATATATAGCATGAAGTGAGAGTCAAAATTCATTATTTTACATGGGGATCTAATTGACTAAGCAACACTTACTGAGATGCCTGTCTTATCTGTGTCATGAAGCAGATGTCCCTGTATCTGGAAATCGGTTTCTGGATCTTCTCTTCTGTTCCAGTGGGCTGTATTTCTGTCCTTCACAATTCCACTTAATTGTAGTTATTGTAGCTTTGTAATAAGTTTTGGTATCTGGTAGTCTTCAAAGTTTGTTCTTCTAGCCTTGGGTTATTTATGGACTTTTCCTTCCTATCTTAATATGCATTTTAGAGTTGTTTTGTGAATTTTGATAAAAAATGAATCAACTCTGCTGGAATTTTTATTAGACTTGCATTCACACAAAGGATAGAATTGATCAAGAATTGAGATGTTTTACAATACTTACATGGAAATCATTGAACATAATTAAACACTTTCTCTTTTTTGACCTTCATTTTCTCTCAATAGTGTTTTATGATTTTCTACATAGATGTTTTTGCATCTTTTAAAGATTCATTTCTAAGTATTCAATGAGTTTCATGTGGTTGTGAATGTTCTATTTTTTTTAAAGATGTTGTTATGTATTTGGACAACAGAGTGAGAAAGTCTCATTCGGGGCTGCATCGGGCTGAAGCCAGGAGCCTGGGACTCCATCTGGATCTTCTAGTTGAGCTGCAGGAACTCAAGTACTTGAGCCACCAACTGCTGCTTCCCAGCATTAACTGGAAGGTGGAGGGGAAGCAGAGTAGTCAGGGCTCAAACCAGCACTCCCATAAAGGATGCTGGCATCCCACAGCTAGCTTAATTCATTGCACTGCAAAGCCTGCTCCTCTGTTTTATTTTATTTTATTATTTATTTATTTATTTTTACTATTGCTGTACATGCATACAATCAGTTTTGGCATCTTATACTTCCATCTAGTAATCTTTTTTTAATAGTCTCCATTACACAGTTACTATATATCCCCCTTAATGAAAAGCCACAAAACATAATCAACAGCAGGAAGAAAAAAAGAAATTAACAACACCATGAAGTCAAATAGCATGCTACTGAATGACTAATGTGTCGCTGAAGAAATGAAAAAGAAAATCAAGAACCTTCTTGAAGAAAATGATGCTACTGTATGATCTATGAAGAATTTAATCAGAAGAAAGTGTTTTGAAGAGATCAAGCTAACAAAACAAATCAAAATCCATGAGATACAATTTTCACTGATCTTTGTTGGTAGGGTATGTCTCCTGTAGGCAACAAATAGATGGGTTTTGTTTTTTAATGCAGTCAACCAATCTATGATGCTTGATTGATAAGTTTAAGCCATTTACATTCAGGGTTAGTACAAATAGGTGATAATTTGGTTTTGTCACTTTAGCATTTGGTTGTTCATTGATTTAATCTTCTGTTGTTATTTTACTGGGATGTTCTTCGCATTTGCCTTTGGTTTTGGTGGGCGCTATTCCTTTTCTCTATCAAGAGAACATCTTGAAGTATCATTTATAGGGCAGGTTTGGAAGAGGCATATTCTTTCAACTTCCACCCGGAATCCCATATGGGTGCCGGTTCTAATCCCGGCAGCCCCGCTTCCCATCCAGCTCCCTGCCTGTGGCCCGGGAAGGCAGTTGAGGACGGCCCAAAGCTTTGGGACCTTGCACCAGTGTGGGAGACCTGGAAGAGGCTCCTGGCTTCGGATCGGCATAGCATCGGCCCGTTGCGCTCACTTGGGGAGTGAATCATTGGACGGAAGATCTTCCTCTCTGCCTCTCCTCTCTGTATATCCGCCTTTCCAATAAAAATAAAAATAAATCTTAAAAAAAAAAAGAAGTCCTCTTCTATGAGTAAGCTTTTTTTCTAATGAATATTGAACTTTGCAAGTGATTTTTCTGCATCTATTGAGATTATTTTTGTCCTTTGTTCTGTTAGTATTTTAAGTAGATTAATAGGTATACAAACAATAAAACAACTTTGCATTTCTGGGAGAAAACAGAGTTTATTCTTGAAATAAGCCTAACTTCATCAAGATGTATTTTCCTTTTTATGTGTTTCTGAGCCTGGTTTGGACATTTTTGGTTTAGGATTTTTGCACCTTTATATGTTGTGCAATTACTATCAGGCTTTGGTATCGCAGTTATGCTTGTTTTATACAATAAATTGGGAATTCTCTCCCTCTTTCTCTTTTCCTTTCACCCTCTCCTTCCCTCCCTGTCTCATTCCCTGGAAAAGATCTTTAAATAAAATCATAGTGTTAGGTCCCAATCCCCTTGTCCTTTCCTTCTGCTGTTCCTGTCTTTATCTTCACTTAGTTGCTTGTGCTGTAAACCTTGGAGTCTTTCCCTCAGTCCTATTAGTTCTATCTTTAAAACAGATCCTGAACCCAGCTAACTATCTCCGCTGCTACCCTTGACTTCACACCATGGTTACTTCATATCTGGATGAACTTCCATTGATATTATGATTTCTCCTTTTCCTCCCTATACTCTATTTTACTCACAACAAAGTGCTCATTTAAAAATGTATAAAACCTCATCACTCTCTCTAGCTCAAGATTTCAAATAGCTTCTCATCATGGAACATTAGCCAGGAGTGGCTTAGCATTACTTGGAGCATACAGATTTGTTTTTCTCATCACTCAAAGTCTACCAAACAGTGTGTATGACTCATGAGGACAGCTGTGCTTCCTGTTGCTACTCAGTGACTCAGCCAACTTTGACCATCAGGCTGTATCATCTGAAGGAAGCGACAGCTTGAGGTTCCTGTGCTGGCTCTCTGGTTCCTGTGTGTCTTGGCCCAGCAGTGGCACAAGTTGCACTTGTGCTCGCAGCTCATTGAGAGCAGAAACAGTCACCTGGACCCTCTCCACAATCAACTTGGAGGTATGCTGACTAAAGGAGCCAGAGAACGTGAGGAAGCAGATGGAATGTTTGATGAGTTCGTCTCCACCAGTCGTCTATGACCTGCGAGGCCCACCTGCCTGTATCTATTGCTCCTTCATTCTGGGTTTGGGCTCACTCACCTGTTACAGCCCCTCAAGTCTTTTTGCTGTTCTGCAGGCACACCCACCTCCTTCTGGAATGGGGGATTACAGTTCTTTCTTCTGAAATGTCTTCTCTTCATTGCTTGTCTTGACTGGCTTCTTCCTTCAGTCGTCGGCTTACACATACCCAGTTCTGCAAAGATGCCCACCTCATTCACCACCATCACTCCCGGCTCTTTTGCCTGCTGGAAACTTTCAGAGCCCTAATTTGTTTTTGCTTCCCAGTGGATCCAGTTGTATGCCTAGTAGCACTGAGGAGTCCCCTGTGGCTCATACTATTCCCTCATTTTATTCTGAAATTACATTGCATACCTCCTCTGCCTCTTCCATGCACATTTCACAACAGAGGGCCCCTGCCAGTCTGGAGAGACTTGATAGCTCTCTTGTAGACCTGAGAGGGCTGTTGTGGAGAGTAAGTAAAGATGTGAGCAAACCTCAACCAAAACCACAATGTCCGTATTATCAACTGGGTCTCAACACTGCTTGGGTGTGGTGCCACTGCCAGACCTGCGGGGTGGGGAGCCCTGGTCCCTGGAGCAGGACTGTCCTTGCATGCCCTGATCTGCAGCAGTGGCCCCTTGGGTGGGGACCTCTTTCAATCATTTTGTTTGTTTGCTTGCTTTTTAAAGTTCAGACCTTTCATGGGAGAAGTTGTGTTTTATTACTTAATGGTTTATGGAGGGCAAAAAAATATTTGGATGTCAACAATGTTTTCAAATAAATCTGGGGTTCAAGTTCAAGTCACAGCATTTCATTTGTGTATTTGAAAAGCAGCAATCCTATCTGCATGCAAAGCATTCTCTTAATTCAGAGTACAGATATGCTTACTGTGACAGGAATTTGTAGATCTCCATAGTAACTCCACACATGTGAGCTTAGAACGTGATATTTCCAACAATGAAGTCTGGCATGCAGTCAGCTTAGCTCTCAGAGGAAAACAGTAAATATCCTTGTATTTACTTAACTGCATCTCCCACTGGCAAACGCTATGCTAGAAACCACAGACTTTTATTCAGTGAAA